TTTGACAGCTATTCCATTCAGAAAATGAAATTAAAATGGTTTAATTTCCTAAATATTATCATTTAGCACAGCCTCAGAGCCCGTGGTGGTGCCCCCAGTGCCTGCAGCTCTAGCAAATCGCCCACTTCCATTGCCTATCAGGTCACCAAGAAATACTCAGGAAGATGAAGAAGATGTAAGTAATCTGATCCGTTTTCTTGAGAAATTACTGCACTTCTACTCGTAATTAGTATTCCGAAATGGACTATGACGCCATGGATGGTATTCTGGATGCATCTTCAGCCTCTATCAACGACAGAGGTCGAAGCTCGAGTATGGCATCAATACCAGGTTTGCAAAGCAATTTTTTATACTGAACACCTGGTATCTATGGCTTATCTTCAGGCAAAATATCCAGACAATTCCAATCCTGTCAAAACCTCAGTTATCGCTCGCAGTCTCCATGCGCTGCGACTAAAGCCGCCCCTCCTCTACCTGCTCGACCACCTCTGCCGCCGAGGCCAAATTTCAGAGTGGAGCAGGTAGGAATTAGTTGAACTGCAAACTCCTTTTTATCTCAAGAGACCTCTATCCACAAGAATATCCGGTTTCAGTGTACGACTGCTATGGAAGAAGCTAACGTGAACCGTTCTCAACCTGAAGAAAGAGATAGCGCCTTTATGGATTATGACGAACCGCGAACGAAGCTTATGGAGGATGACTATGACAAAGTCAGTTTCTTAGTTTTTTGGAACTTTAGACTGAATTTTACATATTTAGCTGCCACCATCAAGACCGCGCAGTTCTGATCTGGACCGAAATCGCCTAAGTGGTTCAAGTGACTGTGACAGCGCTGAGGGCGGTGAAAGAGATTCTCGAGATTCTGGTATCTACAGGTACTTGCGAATTATGTGACCGGCAACACATCTTTGAAAAATACTTCTTTTAGCTCCCCTTCACCTCCAGACGACCATCATGCTTCGCTGTCACAGGTGCATCTAATGCAGCTTAAGCAATATCTGCTTACGAAACGACCTGACGAGATAGCGCTGGCGATATCGCATGAACATGCGAAAATGCTGCGATTTCTGGGATTACCTGAGGTAAAGTTAGAGGAAGAATGCCTTCTGGTTGCATATCCTGTGCAGAATTTATTGCAGAATGTCGATAAAAAGGCTAATAACGGACTGCGTCAAGTTCTACTTCCTAGCGGTGTAATTTTAAGACAGGAACTACTAGAGAGGTAAGTCTAATCTTCCAATTAACTTGTTCACTAGTAAAAATAGCAGTTTATAGGGTATCCATGCTACATTATTCCTGCTTATTGTCCATACTTTCGGGAGCGCGCAAAGATGCTCCACTAATCCTGAAAAAGTGGATCCTTATTGGTGTTTCTATGGCTCGTCACGGAGACGCTTTCGCATGTGCTTCCATAGCTACTGCTTTGAGCGAGCCAACGGTAGGAGTGTGTATCGATGGTTCATAAAAGTAAAAATTACAAGTGTATTCAATTTATCTTATTCAGCTTCGTGATCTATCTTGGCTCTGGACGTCGTTAGACTCTCCGGCAAAGGGTGATTATGAAGCTTTAAAAAATCTTGGAAACTCCTTGAAGAGGGGTGAGAAACTTGAAAGCCACCATCATACAACAGTGATTCCATTCTTGCAACCTATCTTGGAAATTATGTCCGGCCAGGAGTCACAGTACTTGGATAGGGCAAATTACGCTTGTGAAATTGGTTGGTCTTAGATTTCCTCCAAAAAAACGTTATTTCTAAAAATATTTTATTTTAAGATTCCTTATGGGCATGGCTTGACCGTGCTCGCGATTGGTGCATGCAAGCTGACGAGTCATGTAAAGCTGCTGTCACAAAATATGCCAGAGCTGACGGTAGCGTCATGACCCCATCCTTCCTCAATCGGCTATTTGTTGGAGGAGCTGGACCAGAGGACCGTCAAAAGGTGCTCAATGGACTTATACAGCATATTCAGGACCAGTGCTGACGCTTACGTAAAAACAAGGCTGAGCTCTTTGAAGTGCATCACTTACAGTAAACCCACTTTACCTCCAGCAGTTTAGGTCGAGTTCACTGTAATGGCTCGCACTTTTGAGAAAATAGTCTTACACCCATACTATAGATTATATATACATGTACATGTGGCGGTGCGAGTGTTGCAACACTCATTTATGTATGTACCAGTGATGAAACACCTATGCGAAGCATATTTTGCCGGGTAGTTCTTAGACAGTGTGAATATTATTAATGACGCTCAGCTTTTTGTAATTTTATTATTTAGGATTTTTTCCAGCTTATGATAATGATACATTGCCATTTTGCCTGAAACATATTGCTTAAAAGTTTAATAAACACATTTGATTTAGTGCAGTTTATTTAGCTTTCTAAAAAGATTAATCTTAGAAAGAGTTTGATGTTATCTCTCTATCGGTTGCTAGTTAGATTGTTTTTGCGCTAATTTATGCGCAAATCGTTTAGAATCCTAGAAAAAAGCTGACACTTGCGACTTGCGAATGAGGAAGCCACAATAAATTGACAAAAAGTTCCATTCAAGAGCAAAGACATTTTTATCATAGTCGTTTTGTATAGTTCGCCTAAACTTCACAAAAAATGATAATTATCATACTTAGTAATTTTTTATCAACATACTGCTTCATATTAAGCAATGTGCATTATGCGTTTTGTTCAAAAAGGACAATTTCTCGTGTTTTCATCAGTTACACTTCTTCGCGCAATGCAGTAGCCCAAGAACGTTGTTTTGGATAATGAGCTAAGTTCTTTTTTGCTGACAGTGCGGCTTTTGGTAATGAAGAAAATCTAACAGAATCAAAATGTTCTATAATTTTATGCAGCAAATATACAAAAATGCTGTGATAAACCCTAAAGTTTCATTGAGAGAATATGTGAGGTGAAAGATGACGATGGCAGAGTGTCGAGCAGATTTTGACGCAGAACACG